AGAAGAACACACTAACCTGCTCTGTGTAACCTGAGCTGAGGGTTGTAAACAGCGTCCAGTAGTTTCCGTTGTCGCTCGTTCTCCTCTTTTGAGCGACAAAGTTGCTCCTCGTACTCTGCTATCGTTCTTTCAAACAGCCCAAATATCTCTTCAGCAGCCGCAGTTAGTCGCTGCTTCACCAACGCTCTCAGCATTTGGACTTTACACATCTTCACACTTTAAAAACACAACAAAGACACTCTGCTAACAGACGTTTCTGCTCGACGCCATCTTCTTCAAACACTGTCAAGTTAGCCACAGGAAAGAATAGAGCTTCCGGGGCAGCTCAGCTGCTCTCCTTCAAAATAAAAGTCCAGATTACAGGTTTGCCCAGAGAAAGACGCAGGAAGTAAGGGAATTAAATTTTTGTATATGTAAATATGAAATGTGCTACCAGAAAAAGGGACAGTTAGGGACTGTTTTGTACTTATCAGAGGAGGGGTGGCTTTTTTGTGTAAAGTTAAAAGTCGAAAAGGCCTAAGTTTTTCCCTTTTTTAATTTTAAATGAGACATAGAATAAAGTGATTTTGATGAAATATCACTTTTTTTTAGTTTCCAACTATCTTTGGACATGTGCGGACGTGTCCAAAGATAGTTGGAAAATTTCTGTTTTTCAAGTTTGTGGCTCTAATAAATGGTCTAATTTTAACAACTTGTAAAGTAACGTGCCTTCCCCCAAACGCACGTTTTCTATTAAAATGTGTTCTTTTAAAATTAGAATCAAAAATTAAATAAATATGTTGGGTTTAATTTAATCAGGTAAATGGTGTAACTGCTTTCCAAACCCACATTTTCTTTAAAATAATAATAATGATAATAAAGTGTTTTAATTTACACTAATTTATTGTATCACTGGCTGTGATAAATGCTCTAATTTTGGCAATTTTTTAAAGAAAATAAACATTCCAAAGCCAGGTTTTCTTTTAAAACAAAAAATTAAATTACAAAAAAATTACAGTTTACATTTCCAGTTTCTGGCTGTGATAAATAGTGGAACTTAAACAATTTTTAAAGAAAACATGCCTTCTAAACCCAGGTCTTCTGTAAATCTTCTCTTTATTTTTTTTTTTAAATGAATAAATAACTTTTTTTTTGTTTTTTTAATTTAGAGTCTCCAGCTGTGATAAATTGTGCAATTTTGGCTGCAGTAAAATAAATACAAAATGAAGCCATTCAAAGTTGTATCCCTCCATTTATTAAGTCCTTTCAGTTTGGGAAACACTCCCTGCTTTTTACTTATTCAACCAACTCAGTTTGAACACAGACAAATATTTGATGACATTATCAAAGCTCAGAGAAAACAATGAACCAGCTAGCTAATGTAGTGAAATACTCGGTGATCCTCAAAGTTAAGGAAGGATCTGTTAACGGCTGAATTTTTAGGAGGCTACATCATCGAAACCTGGGACTGTTCCAATGTCGAGAATCCTTCAAATTCTACTGAGTCCTTCTTGTGGAGATTTTTCAAGCATGCATGTGTGTATCCTCAGTACCCACATTTTTTGCATGGGCACTCGCTTGCTTGTGCTAATATGTGTTCACCAAATGCTAATTTTGCAAATTACTTTATCAGGCAATGTCACGAAACAACCAACACCAGATCAATGCAGTGTAACTTAAATACAGCTAGCTGGCTAACTTTAGCTTGCTTGCTCACTAACTTTATTGCTGACAAAATGCTATCAAAGTGGACATGTCAGTTGGCTAGCTTGCCAAATTACTTCACCAGCTAAAGTGATCCATGGCACTAACATAGTCATATGAAAAATGGTGATTTAAGCACAAATGAATAATGTAATGGTAAAAAGTGCTTTCTATGAGCCGAGAGCAATGCAGGGATGGCTAACGAAAAACCATAATCTGAACTAAGATAAGCAAGCTAGCTGTAATTTGGGCATGCATCTAAGTATCATGGAGCCAGTGGTCCAAATGAAATATAGAAACACTACAGATAGGAACATTATACCATTTATTAGGTATGTCCCGAATATCAGTTTCTGGGCATTGAAGCTTGTAGCATCTTGCTAGCCTATCTGTAAGCCTGTCACATGTGGTCAAACTATCCCTGATTCAGGAGTGCCCGCCTGCTGGTGACTGACATTAGATCAGGGTGAGTCAGAGCCACGAAAGTATCACTGTGTTGAAAGTCCTTGTCTGAGAATAACTGATACAGTTGCAGATTCAGTTCCCCCACTTCTTGGCAACGGCCCTCCTTGACGTCAGTGGCCCCCCTAGCAGGACAATGCACCGTGCCACACTGCAAAAACTGCTCAGGAATGACCTGAAGAACATGACAAAGGGTGCAAGGCGTCGATCTGGCCTCTAAATTCCCCAGATCCCAATTTGCTCAAAGGTTTGTGGGGCATATTCCAGAAGTACCCCTGATCCAAAGAGGCACCTCTTTGAATTGGCCTTGCCTCCGACCTGTCAAGGCATGGGTACAGGACCTCTGAGGGGTGTCCTGTAGCGCCTGGCAGAAGATCATTTGAGTTCTGTGGGTTGTGGGGTGAAGTACTAGCAAGTCCCAGAGATGCTTGATCAAATCGGGTTTTGGGGAATTTGGAGGTCAGGCCAAAGCCTTGAGAAATTTGTCATGTTCCTCAGGTCATTTGTGGGACATGCCCCAGAAGTACCCTAATCCACAGACCCAGCCAGCATTTGTATGTGGGGCCCATGTGGTTAGTAAATGAGGTGAAAAATGGGCCCTGTATTGGATTCTCCATGGGTTCCATAGTGGCCCCATGCCAATGAGCTCTATGTCATGTTCCTCAGATCAGTCTTAAGCAGGTCTTGTGGTGGTGTGTGGTGCGTGGTCCTGCTGGGGGGCCACTGCCATCGAGGAATGCCGTTGTCATGAGGAGGGGTACTTGGTCTGCAGTGGTGTTTGGGTAGGTGGAACATGTCCAGTGCCTTTATTTTATACAGAGCAATCAAGTACTGATGCCGACATCGATGACCATGGCAACGACTGAAGCTTCAAATTATTCGGGTCAATCATGGTCTAGTTTGGACGGCACGTAGAACTCGCAACAGACATTAAATCTCCTACATCCTCATTCATGGGCCTCCTCAATAGGACTCTATTTCTAAGTCTCTATTTGAGGAGTGCAGAGACAGTGTCCCAGTGGTCTTACAGGACCTGATCAAAGTGGGCAACGGGCAGCGTCCCTGTTCCAAGTCCAGGTCTTCCTCCAGCCCTGAATCCCTACAGAAGCAGGTTGGTTTATGCTCCTTCCAATGTCCACGGCAGTTGACAGTCACTCCAACACTACGGTCTCTAGTCCTGTCATCAGTATCTGGTCGTAAATGTATATCTGGATCAGAGATCCTGGTTGGTTCTGGTCCTCCACTATCCTGTCCATCAGCCTCCTGGTGTATGGCGAAATTGATACCAAGTGTATCTTTAGTTAGCAGCTGAAGCTGTTATCTCCTGTGTGAGTTTTCATGTGTGTGTATAAACTTCCACTCTGTGTAAAAGACTTCTTACAAACAGAGCAGCTGAATGGTTTCTCTCCAGTATGAGTTCTCATGTGTAGCTTCAGATTTCCCTTTTCACTAAAAGATTTACCACACAGCAAGCAGCTGAATGGTTTCTCTCCCGTGTGAGTTGTCATGTGTCGTATCACAGACGCCTTACACAAAAATCTTTTATCACAAATCGAGCAGCTGAATGGTTCATCACCTGTGTGGGTTTTCATGTGTTGCTTCCGTTTCCCACTTGCACTAAATGCTTTACCGCACACAGAGCAATTGAATGGTTTCTCTCCTGTGTGAGTTCTCATGTGTCTTATCAGATATGCCTTGCACAAAAATTTCTTACCACACACAGAGCAGCTGAACGGTTCGTCGCCTGTGTGGGTTTTCATGTGTTGCTTCCGTTTCCCGCTTTGATTGAAGGCTTTACCACACACGGAGCAATTAAACGGTTTCTCTCCTGTGTGGATCGTCATGTGTCTCTTCAGATCGGACCTGCACAAAAAACATTTACCGCAAACTGAGCAGCTGAAAGGTTTCTTGCCTGTGTGCGATCCCATGTGTCTGTTGAGGTGCCACTTGAAGGCAAATCTTTTCCCACACTCACAGCAGCTAAATGGTTTCCTTTTAGCACCACATCTGGAATCAGTGACAGGAAGTTCATCCATTTTTAAACCTGACTGAGGTTCTCTGGCCTCTTTCCAGTCATCAACACTGACCTCAATCTCAGCGACTAAAGAATCATCTGGCTTCTTGTCCTTAGTATCTGGTTTTAAGTCTGGACCTGAGTTCCTGTCTGGTCCTGGTCCTGGTCTTGGTCCCGGTCCTCTACAGTGGTGTCCCTCAGACTGAGGTTTCTCTTCATCATCTTCACTCTTCACAGGGACAGGAGTGAATGTGAACTTGGTGATATCAGCCTCCTCCAGCCCTTGAAGCTGCTCTCCCTCCTGACTGCTCCACAGTTCCTCCTCTTCCTCTTTAATGTGTGGGGGCTCTGGGTCCTCCTGGTCCACACTGGAGCTCCACTCCTGCTGCTCAGGGGGAACCTCTTCTTTAACCACCAACAGCTGCTGCTGGACCTCTGCACCAAACAGGAAACAGGAAACACACACTGAGACTGCGATTTGATGCAAGTATATTAATTATTCTCACTGGTTGGGGCCATTCTCTTCTTTATAATATTTTCAAACATTTTATCAACTTTTTTTCAGACTTGTTTTTTACATTTTATCGGACAATTTAATATCATATTTCAGATATTTTATCAACATTTTATTGGACTATTAAAAAAAATGGACATTTAATTAATTAATATGTTATTTCAGACATCTTTTCTGTTTTTTGGGGCAATGTATTCATATTTTTCAGACATTTATGGACTTTTTTTTAAAAAAAAGTCATTAACATATTGTGGACATGTGAATAGATTTTTTCAGAAATTTTGTTACCAAATTTTCAGAGATTTTTTTAAACATTTAATTGGACAATTTTAATATAATTTTTCAGACATTTTATCTTTTTTTCTGAGACTTTTTCACATTTTATTGGACAATTTAATATTATCGTTTTAAATACTTCTTTTTTTTTTTTACTTTTTAAAAAAAATCTGAACTTTAACATCTTTTCAGACAATGTAAGATTATTTTTCAGACAGCGCTGGTAGCTCTACTAGAATAGATGAGGAGAGACTTGTTGAGGTCGCTCCCACCGGATGTCTGACTCCTCCCCCTATCTCTAAGGCTGAGCCCAGACACCCTACAGAGGAAACTCATTTCAGACGCTTGTATCCACAATCTCATTCTTTCAGTCACTACCCAGAGCTCATGACCATAGGTGAGGGTTGGGACGTAGATAGACCAGTAAATTGAAAGCTCTGCATTCTGGCTCAGCTCCCTCTGAACCACAACGGAGGGGCGCAATGCCTTCATCCATCTCACGCTCCATTGTACCCTCACTCATGAACAAGACTCTGAGATACTTGAACTCCCTCTCTTGGGGCAGAAACTCTCTCCCAACCCAGAGGGGGCAATCCACTGGTTTCCTGGAACCATGGTCTCAGTTTTAGAAGTGTTGATTCCGCCCCAGTGCATGTTGGAGGTCATGGTGTGTTATCCTCATTGGTACTCTCTATCTTGAACCATTTTTGGGCATCTAACTACTTCTGCGTACTTTCAGCTCCAGAAACCATCCAAAAATCCTTTTCTTTTCAGGTTTCTAACATTTAGACTTTTAATGAAATTCAGCTTTTTAAAACTTTTTTTTAATAATGTAAACCAATAGAGAGAACCTTCAAATCCTCTGAAACCCACTCCACTTCAAAACGCTACTGCTCCCGCATACTTTCAGCTACAGACTTCATTTCGACTTTAAAGGGTCACAAGAACTTAACCTATTACGCTATGATTCAGTTTTTTGATAGCTTATATCTTTTTTGTGTAACCGTAGTTTTATGCTGTAAGGTAAGGTATGGTATGGTAACTTTATTTGTATCCGAAGGTAGATTTGGTTCACAGTTTAAGTGATTGATTTGGCTTCATCCACACAAAACAGACATTTCCTTCAAACTTGGAAATGCATTAACATGTTTGCACAGACTCGTCCTGAAGTCAATGGAACTTTGTTTATGTCTGAGAGAAGTTCATGTCTTGTTCTCTGACAGAAAACACGTCAGTAAAAACCCCATTGTACCTTTAGAAGTTTTTATGTGTCTTAAAAATGGCTGTTACCAACAAGTGGCTAAACAAGCCTTGCTGTGGTGGCAACATTGAAGTCATGTGACTTGGGTCTGCTCCATTTCAGAGCACTGGTGCACCACTTAAAAATGTAATGGCGAGGGCCAACAAAGCTGTTTTAATGGAGTGTAAAGTGTAAGCCAGCAGTGGCAGCCACATAACTGTCAGCTGCCAAGACAAACAACAATGTCGATGTATATGCCACTCATTTTCATGGACTTAAATTAAAGTGGACTGTTTGCTGACTTTCTTCTTCTTCTACTGATGTTTAATGGCGGTTGGCAAACAGCTTTTAGGTGCATCACTGCCACCTTCTGAAATGGAGTGTGGATCGGAGCGGCCTCATGAGGGTCCCTGGTTTTAGATTCCTGGGAACCCACATCAGTGAGGACTTCAGGTGGACGATAAACTCCACTGCTCTGGTGAAAAAGGCCAAACAGAGACTACACTTCCTCAGGACACTGAGGAGGACCAACCGCTCTGCAAAATGACTTGAATCTTTCTACCACTGCTCAGTGGGGAGCTTGACAGGGCCTAGTATGGGAATTGTCCAACGGTACACACGAAGCTGAAGCTCCTTTCACCTGCACGTACAAAACTTGGTAGGCACATGTCACATCTCAAGACATTTAAAAAAAAGTCTCTTGGACCCATGCACTCGACCCAACAGGAAGTCGACCATTTTGAATTTACTGTGGCACTTTTGTGCATTTTTCACCATTTCCAGGGATCATTCTTTGACAAACTCCTCCTGCAGATTTAATGCGGTTGACTTCAAATTTTGTCTGTCCTATCAAAAGACCTTAAAGGGACAGTGCACCCCAAAATGAAAATGCAGCCATTATCTACTCACCCATATGCCGAGGGAGGCTCAGGTGAAGTTTTAGAGTCCTCACATCACTTGCAGAGATCCAAGGGGAGAGGAGGTAGCAACACAACTCCACCTAATGGAGGCTGACGGCGCCCCAGATTCAAACGTCCAAAAACACATCATTGAAACCACAAAATATCTCCATACTGCTCGTCCGTAGTGATCCAAGTGTCCTGAAGCCCCGACATAAAAAGTTGTTTGGAAAAACCTCATTTGAACTCTGTTTTTAGCCTCATTGTAGCCTGTAGCTCTGACTGCCTCTCTGGGCACCGCGCTCACGTGTGGGCGCTTGTGCGGGAGACCAGCGAAAGCACGTGAACACACATGAATGCGGTGCCCATGACTCACAGTCTCGTGCAAGCGCACACACGTCAAAGTGGTGCACAGAAAGGCAAATCATATATGACCGGTATAATATATACATCTTGTTATATCGCGCGATTATGCGTGAATTTGCAAGATCTCGTGGGTCCTTGTGACTCCCGCTGTCCGGCGGAGCTGCACCACTCCGCACAGCAAACGCAGCCGGTGGGTGTTGATGGACGCAGCGGATAACCAGCGCAGCCATTCCGCAACGGACACGCATCCAGTGGAATTCCAGCGTTAAGCTCCCCCTCCTTTCACCTTTCCACCACCAACAAAGCCAGTGCTTAGATTGTGTTGTGCTATTTTGTGTGTGAGTACCAGCAGGCAATAAATTAGTGAGTGTATTTTGATAACTGTGTTAAGTAGTACAGGTATTGAAGTAGGTAAGTCGAGTTTTGTTTAGAAGTTTACTGTGAAGAATTTTGAGTAGTATTATTTTGTTGAGCACTGTAAATAGAGCACTTTAAGCAGTTAGTAAGAGGAGGAAGCCTTTTTCGTTTGGCATTGCCATGTTCTTTTCTCTTGTTTTGGATGGTAGAAGCTCTGGTTAGGAAAATGTCTTTTGTTTCAGTTTTCTTTATTGTTAGGTACGTTTAGGGACCATTAGTATTTTTTTGTTTGTTGTTTTGGGCACTGCTCACCTCTGAAGAAAAATAATCTGCTTTGTTTGTTGTTTAAAGCGCTGTATAACTAGCCTTTCTTTGGGAGTGGGAAGAGTGGGGGAGTCACATCATGTTATGTCTAGGTTCCCCCAGACTGGGGACGTAACAATGGAAAGAGTACTCTGAAGAGTTGATGAATGAGGAAAATGACAGAGAACAAAGAGTAGAGGAGGTGACCATTGTGGAGCAGGAAGAAGCAAAGATTAATAAGGATGACGTGAGGAGGGCATTGAAGAGGATGAAGAGGAGAAAGGCAGTTGGCCCTGATGATATACCTGTGGAGGTGTGGAAGTGTTGAGGAGAGGTGGCAGTAGAGTTTCTGACTAGGTTTTTCAACAAGTTCTTAGAGAGTGAGAGGAGGCCTGAGGGATGGAGGAGGAATGTGCTGGTGCTGATTTTAAGAACAAGGGAGACATGCAGAGTTGTGGCAACTACAGAGGGATAAAGCTGATGAGCCATACAATGAAGTTGCGGGAAAGAGAAGTGGAAGCTAGACTAAGAGCAGAGGTGAGCGTCTGTGAGCAGCAGTGTGGTTTCATGCCAAGAAAAAGTAGTGCAGACGCAGCATTTGCTTTGAGGATGTTGATGGAGAAGGTCAGAGGGAACTGCATATGACAGAGTGCCGAGAGAGGAGCTGTGGTGTTGTTAGAGTGGTGCAGGACATGTATAGAGCTGCAGCACAGTGGTGAGGTGTGCTGTAAGTATGACAGAGGAGTTTAAGGTGGACATGGGACTGCATCAAGGATCATTTCTGAGCCCCTTCTTGTTTGCTATGGTGATGGACAGGTTGACAGATGAGGTCAGACAGGAACCTCCATGGCCTATGATGTTTGCAGATGAAACTGTGACCTGTAGTGAGAGCAGGGAGCAGGTGGAGGAAAATCTAGAGAGGTGGAGGTGTGTCCTGGAAAGGAGAGGAGTGATGGTTAGTCATAGCGAGACAGAATACATGTGTGCGGATGAGAAGGACCAAAGCGGAACGGTGAGGTTACAGGAAGTAGAAATAAAGAAGGTGGAGGATGTTAAGTACTGAGGGTCAACCGTCCAGAGCAACAGAGAGTGTGGAGAAGAGGTGAAGAAACGTGTGCAAGCAGGTTGGAACGGGTGAAGATAAGTGTCAGGTGTGACGTGTGATAGAAGAGTAGCAGCAAGATTAAAGGGAAAAGTGAACAAGACGGTGGTGAGAGCAGCCATGTTGTCTGGTTTAGAGACAGTGGCACTGAGGAGAAGACAGGAG